CTGGAGGAGGATCCTCATTTTGCCAGCGTGGTTTTAGTTTTGCAACAGCCCTGAAATGGATAAATTGAAAGGTGAGCAGTGTAATTCAGCTTCCTGGACTTACTGAGCTCTAGTTTACACATTTCTTCTGGTTTCCCAAGCTCCTTCTCTAGTTAATGGAGACTAGACAGGCAGCTACAGAGGCAGTTCTTCACACTGAGCTTAGCATGTCTTTTGTGGTCTTTCCTAGGCATGTGTTTCAGACACTGGCAGAAGATTGGGAACTAGGTAATGTGACAAAAAAGTAAGGTTTGCCCTCAGGGAGGTGTGTAACTCTTGCACTGGGGATTGAGGGAGCCGAGGAAGGTACCTTAGATAGTCTGCCTACGTGCTCTGGACACGTCAAGTTAGAGGAGACGAGCCGCTGTATGTTGAAACTTTGGAGCTTAAAGCTTTGGCACTTAGACCTTTGAAGCTCAGACCTTTGGAGCTGGAAGTTCAAGCAATTCCTTGCTAAAATGGAAACTTGTTAAAACTGGTCTTGCGCTGTGGATACCATAGCACACTTAACAAGTAGATGTGGTGTTTTAAGTTACCTTCGTTCTGTAGCCCTGCTGTAAGCTAGAAAAGGTCTGGACTTCGCCCTGAACTCTGAGTTTTGGGATTATTGTTCCTTTTAATGTTCACACAGGGCAACAAAGATCCCTGCCAAAAGCAGGAATATTAGAAAACATTGAGATTGGTTTTGTCAGTAGCTAGCCTTAGGCTCCTCCAGAGCAGGTTGTCTGTGGTAGGTAATCGGTCTTTATTTCTGCAGAGGGGATCTCAGTGGTAACTGCAGAGATACTGTCCCACGTAGTGTTCTTTTTCCTTTGAGAAAATGCTCTTCTCGTGTATATCCATTTTCCTACCAGAACAGCCCGATAGGGTGCAATTGCTCAGGAATTTCTTTCCTTTAGTTCTGTATGGAAAGCCATTTATAAAGCATGATAATAACAAAGGCATTTTGAAAAGCCGTTGGGAACTAGAAGTAGGCAGAAAATGACACCGTGTCATGTTGTCTGTAGCAGTTTGTGACAGCCTGATGATTGCTGCGCCCGTGACACGGGTCCTGTTAATCCTACCACGGCACTAGTGAGTGCATAAATTAAGTGCTGAGTGTCACTGAAGTTAATCATGAGCTCTGCTATCCGTGGACAGGGGCAGTAGAATTTTCAGGGATCAGCTCCTACTGTCCTGTTCTTAAATACCTGTTCTCATAATATATAAAGAGATTGTTGTCATGCGTCCCACTGAGTGGTTTTTATAACCCTGGCTATCATTCTGCATACTGTATGTCGAAGCGTTGCAGGTTGAGCCTGCAAGCATAACGCGTTTTCTTTTAATCCTGTGCGTATGTTAACGTGTTTCTGTTTCTGTACACATTTCACGTAGAATTTGTGAAGGAGTAGAATTCACGTAGAATTTTGTGAATTCTACAGTAGCTGTAGAGCACAAAATCTATCTTCAGTGTTTTTATTATTTTGAAATCTTAGAATGAACCATAACTTTATGTTGTCGTCAACTGTAGAACCTTCCTCTAAGAGATTTAGATTTCTTTTGAGACCCATTGCCAGCACTGTAAAACAAAGGGTGACCAGTCAAAATACGTATCCTTTGGCACAAGAAATCCCCATGGCTTAGCCTGCCAGCCTGCATTCTCTGCATTGTTTATGCCTTCAAGATACATCAAGATTTTATTGACCCATTTTCTTTTAGGAGGCCTCCATGCAGCTCAGCCCAGGCCTACCAATTGCTTGTGTGCTTATTGCTGGATATTCGTGGTTGCTGTCCACATGGGGTGTAAAAATGAGCTGCTTGGGAACAGTGAGAGGTAGGTAGAGGTAGAGGGATGACTTTCAGACTTGTCTGAGCTACAGGATACCTAACGTGCTGGATCTCTGGATGTGCTTTACTCTTTGAAGAAGAAAAAAAATCTAAAATGTCTTTTTCAGCAGATTGCAAGGCAACATTGAAGTCTTTACTTTTAAGGTTGACGGGGTTTTTTACTTCAGTGGCATCTGTGATGTCTTTTTTTCTGACCCATTGTAGCTTATTTTAATAGCCCATTTAGGGGCTGATACAAACTTGTAATCCAAAACCAAGATTTCCTGGCCTCAATGGTAATTGTATCAGCCTTTACAAATGTGAATTAGTTGTTGAGCAATTTTAAAAATACGGAAAAAATGCTTTTAAATTACAGTAGAAGTAAATGAAATTTAAGGAGAAGATTACATTGATATATCTGAAAAGAAGACAAACGTGTCCTGCAGTGTAACCAAGCCTTTACCTGTGACAGTAACGATTTGTGAAATACCTTATCTGAGTCAGTTGACCTTATTGTGAGATATTGCCCTTGAATCTGTTCCTGAATTATTTAACATTTGTTCTTTTGTTTTCAAAGCAAAAGTCAATGCAAGGTATCATTTTAAATCAGCGTGCTGAAGTGTGCATATTCTGTATATCTAATATGTCGTCTGTTCTTTCTGTAATGCATCTGCATTACTATCAATCAGTTTTATTATGCTTCTCTAGAGACTATTGCTGCCTGCACGCTGTGATATATTTGCACTGTTGTAGATATATATACATATATATAATTATATAAACCATGTCTTTTCCAGGTTGCTTGTTACCTTTGTAGTTTACGCTTACCGGTACAGTGGACCTGAGTAAAAATGTGGGATGTGGGGCATTCTGATGATGTATTACAGTAATAGAGAAATCTTTGTATATTTCTGTATACTTAATACCTGTAAGAAGAAATTTGTATGTGCATTATTTTCCAAACTAGGGCTTTGTTTTCTGAGACTAGAGAACATTTATGATAATGTAACAAAAAGAAATAAGAATCAAATAAAGTGTTACTATTTTCAGACAGATGCCTTTGTCCGTGTTCTCTCTGAAGGGGAAGCGGCAGGTGGCATTGGTAGTGATACATTTTCACTGCCTGCTCCTCGCTCCTGGCTGCCAGCAGGGGTGTTGAATTGCCTGTTTCAGATGCACATTGTGGTGGTTTCAGGTAACTCCCAATACAGGTAGGTTACGGAAATATGTGGTAAAAATTCTTAAAGTTGTCAAGTGCAGTCATGTTGGCTCAGAGCAAAGGTCTGTATAGCACAGTACCTGAAGCGAACAGCAGCACCGCACAGGGAAGAGTGCAGGAACAGGGCAAGCATCAGGGACTGCTTCCCTCACAAACCCTGCACAATTCGAGGACTTCCTGAGCCAGTGGGATTACCTTTGTGTTTTCTTGCCTTTGATGGATTTTTTTCTGCAGACTTACCTACTGTTCATCTTAACCACACTAGTGTCAGCAGAGGTTCCCCATGCACTTGCATTACAGGAGGCAGTAAAGGATCATTCCCTCTTTATCTTCTGTTAGACACTCTGGGATTTGTGGATTTCCACCTCCCTAATTCCCAGCCAAAGAGAAACCATGTTTTACTCTGCCAGTCACACTTGTCCATTCCCAGTTTTACAAAACAACGTCCTCCCTCGTTCAGCCACAGCACTTACGCTATGTTCCCCTGCAGCCGCCTGTCGTCATGAAAGGTGTCTTCAGCTAGTTTAAAAAGCCAGTATTTTTTCTCTCGTGTTTCTCTTGAGGATCCACATTGTCCAAGAAATGACGTGCTTACTGTTTCTGCCATTCTGAACAGTCTCTCAAAATACAGTCTGTGAGGCATTGGGACTGCTGCTTCCTGTTTCACTGGCAGAACACTCGACCTGTGTAAGGCCCCAAGAACAGCAGTGTCAGAAGAAGGGTTTCCATGTAGGTATCCCTCACTTTGCCATTGTACTTTGTTTGGCCGGGTGGCTTTTCATGCTACTAAGCTGTTTGTGTGTTGGATCACAGGTCAAGCCTAGACAACATTGCTGTCCTCGTGCCACCCCTCCTGACCACCACAGCAACAAAATGACCTGCGTTGGTCACTGCAGTTCAAGGATGACAGCCATAACTTTTACAAGTTAGTTAAGTGGCCAGTCCTAGGTAACATGAACAGTGATGCTTAAAGAATAAATTACCCTAAGAATGCAATAGAACTGCATTTTCAAAACTAAGGGCAAGACAATTTTGACCATTTTCTAATGATAACAGATCATACATCATGTTGAGTTTTATAGACCTGCAAATAATACTAGATTGAAGGAATTACGATCCCCAAAAGTAGATGCCTCCCCATGCCAACTGTCATAGATCAGGAAGGAAAGAACAGGAGTCCTTTGTAGCCTGAGTGGCAATGTAAATTACTTTGAGTGTTTTATATTACAGTTGATGCTATGAAATAAGCCAACTATAAACTTCTCATTAGCAACGCTGCAAAAATTAATATACCTCACATGCAATTGCCATCCACTGTGTACTCCAAATGGATTCATAAAAAGTGTTTGAAAAGAAAGGGCATTTCATATTATGTTTTCTAATAGCTATCCATTTAAAATCTGCTTCGTAATGCAGGTAGAAAGGCATTGGAAGCCAGGGAAGCTGCTACGGTGAGAATGATTGCCTCTTTCAGCCTGGGAGGACACTAGGAGCTGTGCTGTGCCCAGGTGTGCAATGAGCACCCATCGTGCTCTCAGTCACTAGCAGTGACATCTGAGGAGAGCCTTAGTAAAGCACTTGGCAAGGAAGTGTATGTTGCAAGCTGTATTTATGGCAGAAGAGCTGTCAAGTGCTGGATTGGTCAAATTGACACTAATTGCATCAGTTTGTCTTTTTTCCTTTTAAATTTCATAGCCTCAGTTGGTTTCCTTATTTTTTCCCATGCCTTGAAGATTTGTTTCAAGATCTCTGAATTTTTAGTGCAATGTTAACTTCGTGCAATGGCATTGCTGGAGACATTTCTGGTTTGTGCCTGTGCCCGCACACGCATAGGAAGGCTGAGAAAGAAGTCAATAGCCGATCTTTTCCACAGGTGGAAAACGTTATCAAAACGTGAAGCTGATCCATTGTCAGCCTCTGACTGTGAAAACACCCCTCAGAGTCGCACTATATCCCCCCACTTCTTTCTAGCACAGTCAATCTCTTGTCCCACCACCATCTCATCTGCTCTGTCAGACAGGCTGCATAAAGCTCCACCTGTTCCTAGGACCTCCTTGCTATCCCCACCTGCCTCTGTAGAGTCAAGTAGATTTGATGGCTCTATCAAGAGCTTTACAGGTTTGTCTTTCTCCTGTAGGAGAATCAGAAAGTAGCCTGAAAGGAGGTAGAGAAGAAATAAAAGTTACAGTAAAGCTTTTGATTTTACTGCTTCTGTTTGTTGAAACCATATCATAAGTCTTGGTATAGCATGCCTTGGACGCCAAGTCTGAAAAAGGGTAGCAAGCAGGGGAAATCCTACTTCAAGGCAGGAAAGAGCGTGTGTCCTTTGGAGATCCTGGCTGGGCTTTACTTCCCAGATTTACCTTTCATGAAGCTTCCTGGAAACACAACAGACCAAAATCATCAAACTGATGATGCTTGCTTTCAAACAACTGTCAGTCCACTCCTGTGTTTTGTCAGATCCAGCTAACTTTCATGGGCTTTGAACCCTGAGAATTTCCTAGAGTTTCTGCAACAAGTTCAGCAATGAAGGTGTTTGGTTCAGCTGCAGTGAAATATTTTGATTCAAGACTTCCAGAGTTTCATTTCAATTGTGGTATTTCAGAATTGAATCCTTCAGAACTTTTGTTTTCCAAAACAACCTTCTGTTACGCTCAGAGACAGCAGTGCATGTTGAAGGAAGCCTGGGAGACCTAACTCAGAGACAGATGGGAGCAAGACCCTGCAAGAACCTGCCTTTGCCTAGCGTCCTCTGAGGGGGATTTCTGGGTACCACAAAGAGTATACAAAGGGTGCCCACAAAGCACAAGAAGTTATTATAGCTAGATAAATAGATCCACTAGTCTCCAGCAGAAAAATACCTTGTTTTCTTACCCTGCTCACCTCTGACAGGCACACAGGCGTTTCACCATTCCCTAACAGGGAGAACAGCACCAAACGACTGCAAACACTCGAACAACAGTGTCCTCATCTATAGCATCAGTGAGTGCTACTGGTTAGTTCTAGTGCTTGGATGTATCATGCATTGTAGCGCGCGCGTTTTAAAGCCAAGTCTATCCATTTGGCCATTGTCTTCTAGTACCGAGGACACATTTGTAGTCTCATCCTCCTGTTGTCTACCTGGTGGAACGTACTGGGACGAGGACCACGCATGCCATCTTGGGTAGTCGGGCAGCTCATTGTTTTTGTGTACCGACACTGACAGTTTTCAAATGCTTTAGAAGAAGGTTCAGATGGGGAAAAAGAAGTCTACAGGGTGATAATGGAGTGCTCTGTCCAAAGAGGACTTGTGTTTCTGGCAGAGCTGCTTGGGAAACTCTCGCGTGAAAGCTTCTGAAACTCTCACCTGAACACTGCTCATAAGGAAGGTTTTGCAACCTGCACCTCAGAGCAGTGAGTCCCTTTTTTTTGGAATCAGCCCAGCAGCAAGGGTGACCTCCTGGAAACCATCTGCTTCTCGAGATCATCGTTCTGCCTGGTTTTAACACAGGGAATCAGATTCAGTTCTTATGTTTTACCTTCTGCTTTCCAAGCCAATCTTGGTCAAGTTTTCAAACTTTAGTAAAACCAGTAGCTCGTTAGAGACTTGTGGCAGAACTGTGAGATTTAGCCGCTCTTAACACAGGAAGATTTCAGTTTCTGCATTCTTTTTCACTTTGGTTTAGCACCTTGTCTGAAACCTTCCTTTTCAACGGGAGCTTTGCCAGAGGAGGTGTGTGATACTAGCTACAGCAGGGAGCATACCCTTGCCAGAGACGTTTGGGAGTGTGATCTGAAGTGGGCACATTAAAATACACATTTTTGGAGGTGTTTTCAGTTATATCCCTTTTTCAGATCGCTACAGGTTTGTTCTTTGTTGCTAGCACCCATCTGTTCTGAGCTGCTTGTCTGTCCTAGTTTTCTCCCCTGTTAATTCTCCATGTCAGCCAAATACAGCTTTCCTGCACTGATTCAAAATGAATGATTTCTGAGACCTTTTCCTTGGCTGCAATTGCTTTAAAAGCCAGTAGAATATCCTCACTCACTGAAGAACCACAGAAGCAATCAATCTGCAATGTCAAACATTTTCTATTCAGCCTTTATTAGAAGGTGAAGCATTGGTTGCACGCAGCTGTCATGTTTACAGACAGCTTAGGACTATCTGGCATTCGTGATTTTAAACATTAAAAACGTACTATCCACGTTAAAAGCCTCATCAGCACAAATGCTTTGTGTCACAGAATTGATTCCTGTTATCGTAGCACCTTTGCTGATGAAAATCACGTAGCTGATGTACTTTCTTTCCCCTCCTGAAAAATATTCAGAGCTTTGTTTACTTATTCAGCATGTGTTGTACAACGATGTGGGTGTGCAAGTGGAGTGGCAGAGATACAAAGGGTAAATCTTCATTTGGACTTCTCATATTTGCTTGTTAAAACTGATTCAGGTTTGTGACAGTCCTGAATTTTGTTGGAAGAGAAGCCTGATTATCCTGCACCTCTCCCTAGACAGCCCTTTTGGTCACTGATGGACAGAGGGTTGATGAACATCTGAAATGACCCAGTGTGGCCACCTGTCAGTCTCAAGGTGTTGTGGGTGCACTCAGATTTCTTTCCATTATACAGAATAATTGGGTAAAGTAACCAGCCTGAAACACTAAGAACAGTTTTAAAGTTTCTGTTTCAATTTCTCTTCCTAGTGCTGGATAGAGCTACATACAAGCAAAAAGAACAAACCTTAAGAAGGGACAGAAAAGGACAGACTTACAGACTTTACACAATCCAATAACGAGAAGCTATTTCAATCGCGTTACCTAGTGAAGCTTGTTGATCTATTGATGCAAAATAAATGAACGAGCTGCACATGTCTACTTGTGTCTATCTGCTGGCCAGACCGTGAGCTCCAAAAGGCAATCAGTCACCAGCAGCCAGGACTCCCCTGTTCCCCTGCAGTGATTTGTCTTTCTTGGGCTTCTGCCACCAGGTTGGCTAGGAAAGCTAGCATCGCGTCAGCAATCTGTGCCAGGGCAGTGGTGGTCCCCACCTCTCTCTCTCAATCTCCTGTCCCTTGTGTGGCTCTCTCTAGCATCAAGAGGCATTGATGGAAAACCCAAGGCAGGAGAGCAGACACATACCGCTGCTTGTCTAGACACCGCTCGGAGCTGGGCAGGACAGAGGCCTTTCTGGGCAGTTCAATTCACCCTACTGGGGACATCTGAACTAGCCAGACCATTGCCAGCCCAGAGGTGTCTTCTTCTCTCTGAGGGCTGTGAACGAGGCCCATGGTGACTGACTCAGGTGTGGAGAGCCTGCAGCATGACCCTGAAGGTGAAAGGAAGGTTCCTCCATCTGTAGACACATTTCTGCAGGTCCTGCACACTCCTCTTTGGCATGCATTCGTGTTTTGGGATCTCACTTTGCTCTACCTTGGCTCTGCCTGCCATCTTCAGATCCTCAGCAGCTGTGGCTTTTATTCTGTTTTTGACAGCTTGTTTTCTCACTGAAAATGCTACTGGACAGTTTTTTCAAGTGCATTTGGGTGGCTGTGGAAAATAGTCTACGTAGAGACCTCAAACATTTACTTAATGTAAAGTCCTAGTATAGCCATCGTCCCTTAGGACTCAGTAATGATGACAGATCTTTAGATCCTAATTCTTTGTGCTATGAGCAACTAACTCTGATTTACAAACTCAAACGTGCAAAGCAACTGCACGACCCAGTGCCTTGGCTTAGCACGCTGTTGGGAACGGTTTGCTGCTCAGCACACAGCAGATAATGGTTTTTGCAGGGGCCACCATGCCCAGGAACAGCAAGTGAGCAAGTTCAGCCCTTCACGCTTCTTCCCTTTGGGGTTAGACTGCTGCCAGCGTGGCTTTCCTGCACTGTCACATGCCGACATACAGACCATTTCAACAGAGGTCTCGGGCAGTTCCCAGAAGTTTCAGCTGCTGTGCCTTGCCAAGCTGAGTTTCCCAATCAGATTTTGCAGCTGACAACACCACAGTACCCACCACTCCCCTTACTAAGACATTTCTGTTCATAATTTTCCTTGCAAAGCCAAATACAGTACACTGTGGTGGGGGAAGATCAGCAGGACCGCTGACCTGTGCCTGCCTCACTGGCACAGCCCCAATGGAGAGATCTGGGAGGGTGAGACAAGAGTAGTGAGCAGTTTTCTCTCTGAGCCTGTCCCTCCGAGATGCCCCCGTGCCCCCTTACACTCGGTGCCGCACACGTTGGCACATGGCTCTGCAGCAGGAAAAGCCTTTTGGTGAGTACGTGCGGCTCTGTGAGAGCTCTGCCCTGGAAGACAGCTGACTCTGGCAGCCTGATCTCAGTCCCTACAGATGATCCCCCTCTAAGCACTAATCAGGGTTACCCTTTTCATTGCAGCTGTGTTTTCATTCTTCCTCCCAGTGAGACTCCAATGAAGGGCTCGTTACCTGGTGGAGGCGGCCAGTTGTTGCACCAGATTTTGCAGTGCGGTATTACTGCGATTACACCCTGCTTAGGCCTTCCAGGTTCACCTGGGCCATGGCACCAAACCTGCCTTAGCAAAGAAAGACCTTCAAAGACCTTCAGAAGACTTGTCAGTTTATTGCTGACATTACAACCAATATCCTACCATATCCAAATCACATTATTGAGCCCGTTGTAAGTGCGAGATAATGGAAGTTTTATGAATGAGTAATTTTTACTCGCTTGGATGAAACTTACTCACCACAAAAGTGTACTTGGGAGAAACCTCTAAGCAGGCATGTGCCTCTACCATTTTCTCTCTCCTTGCAGCACAACTGTTCTTTCCTGCTAAGTCCTGAGCACAGCTTGCTGCCATGGCAGTCTCATGGTACCCGTTTTGTTCTCTTAGAAGCTCTTTCCTGTGCTTTAACTTGACCGAAGCAGGGAAGCATTCAAGCCACAGTGCTGAGCATTAAAGACCTCCAGGAGAAAGCAGTCATGCTCACCTAGGGACCAGGAGCTTCTCCTGTGTCTGGTGAGACACCGCAGGCTCTATTTCAGGTACAGGTCAGGGCCAGGGGAACCTATGACTTGCTTTTAGTGTTGCAGAGACTTTCCCTGAGCATGACCCATGGGAACTACTTGTGGGAATGCTGGTTAACAGCAAGAGTGCCCGGTGATTCAGCTGTGTGTTGCACCAACAGCCAGGGTCCGTGTTGGGTTCAGTAGGGTGCCGGGTGGGTACCTGTCCCCCTGAGCTACCCCATGCCCGGCTGGTAGTGGCACTGAGGGTTTGGCAGCATCAGAGACATGGTAATGCAGAGAGCAGGAGGTGTCTGAGTCAGACCAGCTCGGTGGTCAGCTAACAAAGGTACGCTTCCCTATGTCTTGAGGGGAAAAAAAAAAGACCCAGCTGTAGCTGTATAAAGGGAAACACCAAGTATTTCCAGTATCCAGAAGGGTGGGTGGCCAGTGCAAAGCCACATATCAGCTGACAAACACAAGCAGTCACTTGCAAGTGTGAAGTGTAACTGACACAAAAAGCTGAGTGCCATGTTCCTTTTGAAAGTCTTAGCGACTCCTCTCTCATCGACAGGTTGCTAAGATGCCAAATTTCCTGGGAAACTGAGAAATAATCAGCTTTAAAATAAAGATAGCAGAGAACTCACTGATTGTGTCTTAGTTCTTTTATTATATTGAAAACCTGCATGGTACTAGTCTACTGAAAGAATGAAAGCTGTAAATAACTTTTCATCAGAAAGGAATCAATCCAAGATAAAAATGACCTAGAAATTGTAGCTGTTACAAACAATAAAGTCTGGGTTGAGACCTCGGCTGTTGTTTCCTGTTGGAGTACGTCCAAAGATCACAAGGTTCTTGGCGGAAGTTAACAAGCTGGGGAGAGAAAGAGGAGAAGCAGATTAAGACACACATTTTCTCCACAAATTACACAAGGTGCTAGGGAGTGTTTTGCCTAGATGCAAAAAGGCAATTTTTTCGCAATTGCTTTGCCCCCGCCACATCCGTACATTTGTTTCCTAACTATGATTCAGATCAGTAAAATTAAATTACGGTGAATTGTCTCCAGTACGAAATACACTGTGAGGTGGGTTGGAATTGGCTGAGGCTATTGGTTATCTACATTAGATATGCTGAAATGTCAATCGTCATTAAAAAAACAGAAGTAGGAGATCAGAAATTTCTGTTAGGTTCATTCCCCATTTCCAAAGCAAAGCCTTTCATCTCTTGTGATAAAGTAGATATGGGTTTGGTAGGTGCACCTCTACTATTGCTTAGCCGAGGGCTTGAGCTCGCAACTGAGCCCAGGTTGCCCATGCAGCCTCATTGTCCACAGGTCCCTGCCCCAGCTGCATCTGAAACACCCACCCCTCTGTGCAAGACGATGCAAAAACTTTTTAGGGTTTAGCCACCTCTTCCCCACTCATGCCCTGGGTGAGGGGTGAGCTCTGCACCCACAACGGGAAGGCAGGGACACCCTGTTGCGCTCAATCCCTCAAGCACGGCCTCTGGCCATGGCGGGCTGGACATGGGACCCCCCAGGAGCCGCGGCGAGTCCACAGGGATGCGGGGGACAATGTCTCATGCAGGACGTTACCTTCCTCCACGACACGATGGTAGAAGCACCAGGGGACACCAGCAGGATGTGCCCTGAAGCAGCACCCCCTCCTTTTGCACTGCACAGCTGAGATGCCAGGGAAGCCGCAGTTTATCCTGTTGCGAGCATCCTCGGAACATACTTTCCTAACTGTGTAAAGGGAAAATGAAGGAAGGAAGGAGGCCATGTTATTTCATGGTCTGTTTACCTGGCGGCATAATTCACGAATAAAAGGCAGGCCGTGAAGGTGAGGTCACTGAGCAGACAGGACAGCCTTGATGACCTTCTCCACACCGATTTCAGGCAGCAGGGTCACCCAAAGCCTTACCACGCCTGTTAGGCAAAACTAAATATCAAGGGGTGAGAAATTGCTGCTGCACCCCAGGGGTCAGAGGGGGCAAAATTTGCCCCTAGAAGTGCCTGTCAGGCAGAAACTCAGCTTTACCTTTCCCAGATCCAGCAACAGGGTCAAGAGCCAAATGTATCCCGTAATGATGCCATAGACACTAGGCTCAGACCAGGGTATTTTCTTGACCTGCCCCAATGCTAAACCCCGAGCAACCTGGCTAATGCGAGGAGAGGAAAACCCAGCCTCTTCAGCATGCCAATTTGAGCTGGAATATGGAAATGGAGGTAGGCCATTTAGGAGCTCCTCTGGGCAATTAAAAGTAAAATCACAGATAAAGAGGTTATACTATCTGGCCTGACTAATTCGGTTTTCCTCTCCTGAAACAGTTCTGCTCAGAAAAGCAATTCTATGAAAATGACACTGTAAGCTGCTGCCATTCGTTTTTTTAAATTTTAATGAAATAGTACTCAAAAGCAAATTATTTTTTCCCTTTGACAACTCAGAGCTCGATTCATATCAAGTTCTTTTACTGGGTAACATTGCCTTTGTGCCCTCAATTCCTCGCATTTCACCTGTGCCAATGCTGAGATCGCCCCGAAGTTCTCCTAAGAAGGAGCCGTGCAGTCAGCCCGGCAAACGTAGCTTACATTCAGCAGTTATGTACAATACACATCCAGCCCTTGAAGGGCTGGGAGAGCGGCTCCTACCCTCTCTGAAAAAACAAAGGCAAAAAATGGAAGCAGGACTTCAGAAGCTTTAGAAGAAAGAATCTAATTGGGAAAAGGATTTCCCCTGGAATATTTTGGAGATTTCATTAAATGAAGACTGGGACGAAAAATGAGAGAGAAAATAAGAACCACCAACTGGAATTGTGCGGGGAAACAGGAAGGAAGTACCAATTATCAAAGCAGGCTGGAGAAAAGAGCAAAAAGCCTAGAAGTTACCGCATGTTTGTTGTCTTTTGTATGGGTGTCAAACAACTACAGATGGACTCATCTACTGAGGACTTCCTGATTTCTTTGACATGAAGTGCTAAAGTCCTCCTGAGTCACATAGAAAACTCATTTAAATAAGTGCTGAGGATCGCTTGCTCCACTGATGAACAAGACCAGAACCAGCAGTGAAATGTTTTTGAATGATTGGCATGGGTTATTTGGTAACTAGAAGCCTGAAGAAAGAGAAAAAATCTTGTGTTAAGAGAATGAGACAGAAGATTGATGAGCAAGCAAGGTTTGACTTTGCATTTTGCTACCAGTGGTCTTCTAATAGAGGTTTGTGCTCACTTGGTTGGCCTAAGAAGAAAAGCAGAGCTGCTCCTCGTTGTACACAGTTCTGCATAACCAAACACTAGGTGAATCAGTGTTTCTGGTGGAGATATTACCTTTCTTTGTTTTAGGAGTAAAGCACCAGGGAACGCTGGGGACTGAAGCGTTGAAGCAGCATCCAGCTTTCCTGCACTCCGCTGCTGAGATTCCTGGGTAGCCGCAGTTCTTCCGCTCCCTGGGGGCCAGTTTACACTGACATCTCGCTGTTCAGGACAGAAGTAGCACGTTACTGGGAGTCAGTTTGTATACTTGTTAGCCGAGGTGCATTTATCAGGTGTCCACTGGGACAGTGATCTTGCCCTAGACACTGTCTGTCTTTGCAAGCGCACATTTTCCATCGCTTGCTTAGGCCAGAACTAGTGTGGTTTAAAAGCTGCTGTTGGTAAAAAGACAGCAGGGGAAATACTGCACCCTTTTACAGCTGAGGTCAAACTCTCACCAATTTCAGCACGAGTTGCAAACCTGTGGTCCCACTTGCGGCCAACCCAGCCCAACACACAGCAGGGTCTGTGGACTTCAAACAGACCACATCAAAGGGTAAAAAAAACAAAACTTCAAATGTCCTGCTAGTATATTGTTGCTGCTTTGCCCATCTCGTCAAGAAAGAAAGAGTTAAGGGTCCAGTGTATATTCGAACAGGTGTAAAAATACAAAATCTTTGCATTATTGTCGGGTGACCATAAAACCACAGGATTACATAGTTGCAGCTATACTTTTAACATTTTAAGTCTACTGCACAGTCATCTGCAAACAAAATATTCTGGAGCTGTCCCTAGGTGTCTGCCATTGAATTACTTGCTTACCAATTCTTAAGTTGCCTAAATGACTTTATTGACAAGGCAGATGGACTTTTTGGAAATTCTGTAATTGTATTCATATGGCCAAGCAGCATAAAATACATGTCAGAAGACCATTTAGACAAAGCTAGCTCCTGTTCCAGTCCTGGTCCTGTTCTAGCAAGCTCCTGGGCACATCTGTCCCTCTGTGTTTGTAGCAGGTTCCTGGTTATTCCACCAACACAATAGCTCACCCACAGTCTTTTTTATTTTGCTATGGCAAAATGTTTCTCTGAAAAACATCTCTGAAAAAAGTAAACTCCAACTTTGGTAATAGTACCAGATCAAGACATTTTCTGTCTGATATGTAAACTGGAGACATGCTCTTGCTGCAGTTACAATCAGTAGGATCAGGCCCACATACATACCTGTGACCATAACGGCAGATGAATGTACTTACTTGGTGCTGTCTTTCCCTCTGCCAAGGTGCTGAGGGCTACAATGAGGATGACGGAGAGCACACAGATCACTTTGAGATCCATCGCTCTTGGAAGGCAGGCGGAAGAGAGGTGCTGCTCTCCCTTGGAGCAACTCATTTTATATGCTCCTCATGTTTGCCTGGCAAGGTCTGATAACATTGTTCCACCCAATGCTTCACCCAGAGGTTGGGTTTTCTTTTATTTAATTAGGAAATGTTGCCATGCATAGTTTGATATCCCTGAGATAAATTTCTAGGCTCCCTTGATCTATTGATCACTTATCTATTATGTACCTATAGATAGGTATCTATTACGTGATCCCATAATCTATTAATTGGACATCACTGCATGCGTCTGGCAACTCCAGCTGATTTCGTTGCCATTAGAGTTATTTCAGAACTCTGGGCAGCTTTAAACGTTTGCCACTACTGAAAAATATGTACATAGATTTCCCATCCAAGTGTATCTTTTCTGCCTGAATTTTTCCCTGGCCTTAAGGATTTGGTTACACTTGCTCTGAAATGCAAAATGCAGGAGGGCTGGAGGTGTGACACCTCTGACCTTCAGGAGACCACAGGGCGAGCCGTGCTGGGGACCCGAGAACTGCTGTGATGAATTGAAGAAATACGTAAACGGAGAAAGTGGAAGGTGTGACTGTGAAATACCAAGCCCGGCTGAGGCTACTGTTTGTTTCCACACATGAGGCAATCTACATCAGTTTGGAATAGGAAAGGAAGGTAAGATCAGCGGGAAAAAAAAAAAAAAACAACCAACAACAAACCAAGAGAGATAACAGCATAAAGAGACTCAAGAGAGGAGTGTCCCATCTGCCTGGTCCCCAGAGCAGATTATTGCTTCACAACCCATCTGATACCACAAGCACATGACTTACCGAAAACAAACTTCTAAAGCACCAACTTGGACCTGTTAATTTCCCAATTGCTTTTCTCCTGGTTTCAGAGGTGACCTCCAATGCAGCCTTTGGGCTGTGTCAGGACAATGGGTCTTGTGGCTTGGACTGCCCAGTCAGGCTTTAATCTGCCTTTTTCTACCATTTACTGTAACATTTCTTAACTTCTAGCTACTTCCCAACGCTTGAACACAAGCAGAGCAGTGCCAGGGAGGGGGAGACAAGCAGCAGGATGATGGGACCATCTCTGCACCCTCCCCAAAGGAGGCACCTGCAGAGAGGGCAGAGCTGGCCGCAGCCCCCCATGCTCTGAAGTGTCCCTTTTCCCAGGGGAAAACCACTGAGGAATTCTTCCTGTTCATCACCAGAAAAGGGATTCAATGCATTTTTTTTGATCTTGGACAGAATTGTGTCTTCATGCCTATGATTATTATATAGAAGTTTGTTTTGTGCCTCTTTCCTTGACAAAGTTCAAGGCAAAACATTTTAACATCTACGGTTGTGTTTTGAAGGTAATTTATTTGCTGAAAAGTATTTTGAACCTTGTAGGAAAGATCTTGGTCTACAAAGGAAAAAATAATAGAGCTCATTTTCCTTTAACTTTTTAAATACTTTATTTATGCCAATGTCTATTTAAGATATTGATGGCATTTCTCATTGGAAGTCCTGATTCATAAACCAAATGTTTTGTGTATCTTTCATTTCACAAGATCTCAAGCTATGAACAGAAGAGGACTCAGCAGTTCGTATCACACCTATTACCTCCATCACTGGGAGAAAACATCAGATTTAAAACTTAAAAATCCAGTTTTATCCTTACGTGCAACATCAACAGTGCTCCCAAATGTTCACCGCCATGCCTGGTCCAGCGAAGTCATTAGCAACTTTTCCATGTTGTGTATTTTTTGGGTGTATTTTTCTTCTCAACGTGCAGGGGGTGAGATCGGCTGAAAAGTTGTCCATGCACGAAAGGAAAGAAGTCATCCCAAGGGGGGGGACCCTGAGGCTTTCAGACCTCCATGGAGTTCTCAGTAGATTATCGGCCCATCGCGTGAGTCAGGTGAAAGTGCCGATAACACGTGTTCCTCCTGCCTCTTACTGGGCATTAATTAAGTCCTTATCTGTGGGCTGTCACTTCTTGGGCCCAATCCCAACTGCGTGCACAAAGGCCAATCTACCGCTGAACTTCTTGCTGCGGAAAGAGCGCTTGATTGGCATCTTAAAACAAACACTCCGAAAGAAATAAGCTTCTTGCTTTTTGCCAGCGGATTACTTCAAGATCTTTAATATGTTTATATAGCAAAGCCTTGAAAATTATCTAGGGTTTACCTGTAAATGTGTTTTCTTTCCTGAGGCCAGCGCATACCAAGACTTTTTGGTGACTCGATGTAGGGTGCCCAGGCTCTGAGAGTGCCCACGACCAGAAGGGGCTTGGAGGGCTCCTTCGTCCTCTCCAGCCTCCGTGTCCTCCCTCACCACACTCCTCCAGTCCCACGGGGCTTTTAGCTGAGCTGTGGTGCTCTCACTTCCTTCTCAGCAAGGAAATGAGAAATCACCATGGCTGGTATGGACCTTCTTGCTGCTGGTCAGTAGCAGGCTGCAACTTTTTATTCTGATATTGCAGAACTTCTAAAGGATGTGGGTATTTTTTTCTTTTTCTTTTCACTTAAAAATAAAGAACCAACAACCAACAGTACAAATTAGTTTTTCATCCTAAAGGAAGCTTTTTGTCCTAAAGGGAGCTTTTTGTCCTAAAGGGAATTTCCTTTTGTGGAAACTTAGTATAAGTTGCTGACCTGATAAATCTACCATTGGGGCTACACCACCGCATGTGAGCCCAGAAAATAAATCCTAAGTTTTGAGTGCTCCCCAAAATATATTGTCATAAAGGAGAAAAAAATCAGAGACAAAGGAAAGGGGGAGTCTTCAGCAATTTTGCTCCTTCCAGCTGTGTGAGGGGTCCTCAGCAGGAGAGGAGAGTCAGGAGCAGGGATAGTCAGATAGCATCACTTAGGTGAACCTCACTTCATGCCATTCATTCACTGCAATACTGATTTTTATGAGAGCGTTTCTAGAAACCATAGTGGTGATCAATACTCTCCTTCCCTATCGTTAGGCTTTCTGTTTGCCTTGCTTCACGGCAGCCACTGGTGCGCTGCTGTATCTCCTTTTGGAGATACATGGGTGTGGTGTGGGGAACAGACAGTTAAACAACATTAAAGGGTGTATTTTTCAGGATGTTCCTCCCACGGAGCCCATAGGACTGTGCCGTGGGGCTGCTCTACCATGATGAATTATATGGAAGGTTTGCATACAGAGGTTTCAGCATTGGACTCTCAGAGGCAGAGGGATGTATCTTGACCTGGGGTCCCTGCGACGACCCTGTTGAGGCAGAGAGTGGGGCTAGGGGCTGACATGACTCTGCCCACAACAGCCCCATGGGGTCTGGACAACCCTCTGCAAGGACTCACAGCACCCTTGAGTGACTGCTAGCCCTTGTCTTTGTCCTGGTGCCAAGGGTGAAGCAGGGACACCGGCAAGGGCAGGGACAGCGAGGGGCTGGGGTTCTCAGGGTTCCCTGTACCTCCTGGGAGCCGCACACAGAGAGCTGCAGTCCTGGCTGCAGGCTTTGTGCAATGCCTGTGCCCCAGGATCGTCCTCTCCCTGTGCTGGGAGGTCCCAGCCACCGGCTCGCACAGCGAGTGCGCGACTCAGACCTGGTGTTTATTTTGGCAATAAGGAGGTGAGGTGATTCCCCCACGCAGCTCGCGGCAGCGCTGCCCGGAGGAGTGGGCGAGACTGTGAACAGCCAAACCACATACAGCCAAACCATGTACAGCCAAACCATGTACAGCCAAACCACGTACAGCCAAACCATGTATAGCCAAACCATGTACAGCCAAACCATGTATAGCCAAGCCACGTACAGCACGGTGCTGTCAGGAGCCGTGCCTTTGTGTGTTATACACAGGGAACCTGCACAGCAGGCAGCTGCTGCGTCTGTGGGCAGGGTCTGGGCTCCTGACACGGGGACTTTCATCTGAGTGTGCCTCTTTGGATGAGATGCTGTGGCTGGAATTAGGGACATGGGTCTCTTCCAGCTACTGCCCTGCAGATCCTTGTGTTTTCAATTGGCATGTTGCCACATGCCACTTAGCCTTGCAAGGCATGGTACAGCAACGAGCTTCCTTGCTGCTCTTCTTAACACCTAGAGAAAATTAAATACAGGTAAATACAGTAGGGGAATGGATTTGGAGCTGCAGGTTTCTGCATGCAGCAGAGATCCAGTCCTTCCCAATCCCTGGTGTAAATTAGAGTTACTTGGAGGTTAAATAACTTGTAACAGAAACTTTAAGTGATGCTGCAGTCAGTTCCTGATGTTCCTTCCTGTTCCGAGCCCATACTCATTTATTTCTGTGCCAAATACATCTGAGAATGGGAACTTCAAGAGGCCAGTAAGTTTGCTGGGATTGTGCAGGAGCGAGCATTTGAATAGAAGCAAAAATATCAGGAAGATATTTCCAGTAAGATTCACAGCTCAGTGTCTGTATCATGGGCTCAGATTTGTATTGGACTTCCCTAGCAGAGGCTATTCTCTAGCCCACGTAGGAAATCCCCGTGGTTTTGAAGCTTAAATGTCAATATTTTGAGTGTGCGTGGGAGGTGTTTAACCATGTTATTTTTAGATATAGGTCTGTTGTAAAACAGTAGGCAGGAGCTATGCTGCAGCTTGGAGGTGTCTGTGCCGAGCTGTACGACCTGTGCTGCTGGCTTGAGTCACACTTGCTGGGCATGGGCTGGGGCTGGTGTTCCCTTTTTCTTTCAGGGCAACCCCCATTTCAGAAGCAACCAGCCAAGCAACACTTCACAGGGAAGCTTAAAAATACCCCATCTGGGAAAACACAGCCAGACCTAACTACAGTGCATGAGACTCTAAAGCTTGAACCTGTGCATGTTGTTAAATGGAGGCTGAAATATAGGACAGGTGAGATTTTTGGAAAAACTTAAACACTCAGTTATAAAGGTAAGCCCCTGGGCTCCAGTCAAAGGTTTTGCAATGCTCCAGTTGGTTGCTACCTGGCTTACTTTTGCAAGCCACGTTATAGAGAAACCTGTGGCATAAAAACGTCAATCATCAGAGCAGGATCAGATA